TCTCAATGATGAATGTGATCATTTTGTATACCTTAATTGTACCAATAAAATTAATTTTAAAAAATAAAAATAAAACAACTTCTAAGAAATCTTTCAGCAATTGTGTCCAAGTGGTAAGCCTACATAAACCAATCATTCTCTGACATAAAGATATTGTTTGTAACAAAATTCTTAGAAGAAAGAGGTAGCTGTACAATGCCAAAGAAAAGTACCTCCCCTCTGTGAACAATTTTCACTTCAAAAAATGGGATTCAAAAAAGATTTAGTTCACATTGTATCAGTGAAGAGATCACAGAAAATTATTCAAACTCAATGAGATTTTTTTAAAGTCTTGATTTCAGATAGGTATCTTATAACATTTTAAGTGAAATATTTGCTTAGACCAACTTAATAACTCAGTATTTTACTGTAATTTTATTTGGAAAATGAATGATGGTTACATCAAATCAAGTGCACAATCTCTCACTGTGAAATTATGTGGTCAAAACCACCAGTCGAGTCATGCCCCATTTTCTTTTCCTTTGAGAAACTGTGTTCAGTCTGTCATACATAAAAGAAGCCTCTATTACATCTGTAGGTGGTTCTAGGAAGTAATAATAATTAAAAAACAAACATAAGGATCCTAACTATGTAGTATTTGTATTTTATACATCTTCAACTTAGATTACCTCCATTTCCTACTGAGATTTCTGTGAGGTAAAGAAAAGTGATCACTTGTTCATTTTGTACATGGGTATGCTAAAACAAAAAATTATATTTAGGTCATAGCTGACTTCACAGTTAAGGATGAAATTCGAACTTCTAAGAGAATTCTAATGCAGGTTATTATCATGAATGAGTTTTTAGAGTTCTGTTTTAAAAGCTGCTCTAAAGAGAGAAAGCTTAGTGTATGAGAAGAGGTGTCATACTGATCTGGATTCAAATTTTCAACCTTGCAAGTAGGTATATTTGTTCAGGTAAACTAGTGTCTCTGGGTCTTGTGCATATTAATGAGCTCAGGGATAGTAAAATGAACCCACATAAAAATAGTATTATGAGGTTTAAATAAGTGCAGGTGAAAATACAGTTCACAGACCTAGTATTTAATGTTCTTTATTTCCAAATTATCATTTTTAATTCGTAAATTATAAGAAACTACATAAATTCTATGTAGAAGTTAGGCCAAGGTACGGAGGTAGCCAAAAATGTGGATAAGTAATATTAAGAGATCACAGTAGGATTTTAAAGGCTGTCATCCTGCTTGAAATTCTTTCCTCCAAACAAAGGACTAAAGTTTGGCAACATGTAGTCAAAATAAACAAACTCAAGGGGCCTACAAAAAATTATTTTTGATAGACAAGGAATAATTAAAAGACAGCTATCATTACAATGAAAACATTTTCCCTTAGATCTACAAGGGAAAAGAGAAAAGGAAGGAGATATTTCTGGTAGTAAAGAGCATTTAAATAGTGTTGGTATTTAGGGTAAAATGTGAACAAGAATCGTGAACAGTAAGGCTGAGGTATGATAAAAGTATATATTTAGCGTGACATCTAATGTTAAAAGAATGCATCCTAACTATTCTTGGGGATGCTGATTCCCCCACTGGTACATTCTGGAGTCCTCAGCCCTGCATCTTCTCACCTCCTTGGCCACACTCTCCGTTCACCTGGGAGTTCAGTTATAAATGTCTGTGGTATACAAAAAAGTGAACTTTCTAAATCATAGAACGTGTTTAATCCAGAGTCTGCCTGGTTAAGATTCAGAATTTTTCATTAAGCACTTACCAGTCCAATTATGAAAATACAGAATGACCAAAAATTGCATTTTTCATTAATTTTTATAAGAGAACAGAACAGGAAATATAAAAATGACAATCTTATCAAATTTATTCAATACAAGAATAAATTGGTTGAAATGATACCTGCGCGAGTGATGCTCGGGATGGTCAGTGTGTAAACAAACGCGCTGCCAGAGTTACATCGGGGTAACTTTTAAGTGGTTAAAATCTGTATTCTAAATACCAACTTCATTTAAATAGCCTTTGGCAGAATAGTCAGTGGTGCCAATTTATCTCTGTCTCTACCTCAATTATGTAAAACTATCCATAAACTTTTTTTATTTCCTTTTTTGAATCTTGGCTGTCTTGACGAAGAATGTACAGGTGTGAAATATATACACACACATACCCTTTTTCAATAACTCACTTACCTCCGAGCATTATTTATTTCCAAATTCATTTCTCTCTATATTAAAGTGGCCCTGTATTTATAACGCTTTTAACATTTAAAAAGTTTTTTTACATACCGGCACCATCTGTTTTTATTCTGTTTGATGGTATACTGGGCTCGCCCATACCCAAGGTGTTAGTGGCTAACACACGAAATTCATATTCCATCCATGGGATTAAATCCACTGCTCTTGCTGCCTCCATATTTCCTTCAATGATTGGGGGATCTAAATAAAATAAAGATCAAATAGATATTATCAGTTGGCCCAATTATTTTTATAACCCCCCTTTTCATTTTACTTTTGAAGAGAATGACACATATTACATTGAAATGAAACAAAAATAACAACTAAGAGTTGATAAAATGTTAAGTTTAAAGAAGTAAGAGAATGATTATCAATAAAGAATAACTGGACCGGGGATTTAGCTCAGTGGTTTCGCCGCCTGCTGCTCAAGCACAAGGACCCGAGTTCGATCCCCAGTACCA